GGTGGTGGTGGTGGTCGTTCGTTGCAAAATTATATTTCCCCAAAAATAAAATTATTATAACGAATTTACGGGAATTTTTTTTTCTTACTGCCAGAAAAAGATCGATTGATTGATAATCATCAGTAGTTTCACTAACTCACACACACATACACACACATTGGCTACTTGAAATGAATTGTTTTCATTTTGTTTTAAATTAATGAACTTTTGCAGTTTGTTTTTCCAGTTCATTAGTCAGGTGGTCTTAATTTATATTTTTCTGTTGTCCAATTTTAACCATTATCTTTAGATCCGATATGAAATCTCAAAAAAAAAAAAAATAGTTGAACAAGAAAAAACAAAAAAAAATGATAATAGCGACAAATAAACTCTCTCTGAACATTTAATCATTCAAAGATTTTCACCATGAACCCTATGGATTTTTTTAAAAAAAAAGTCAGAATCAATATAACTTATCTGAAACAAATCTGATAAGAAGAAAAAATGTCACATTTTATTTATTTTATTCTTAATTTTATCATATGACAAGTAAAAGTTGAATGATATTTATCGATTTCAATCAATTTCAATTGAATTGAACTGAATGATGAATGTTGTTGTTGTTGTTGTTGTTGTCGTCGTCGTCGTCGTCGTCGCGACATTCGTTACATTTGACGTTATTTGTTTTATGTATAAATGTCCAAAACAATATCTGTGTGTGTGTGTTGTAGCTAGTAGTGCTGGTGGTCATCGAGACTCAGCAGCTGTGGTCATAATAAAAAAAAATGATCATTCATTTATTCTTTTTTTTTTGACCTGTATACAAAGCGCAACAACAACAATTACATCATCAACTTTTTTTAAATAATCATTAACTACTACTATAGTAGTTGTTGTCAATACTAATGAATTATCAAGAAGAAGAAAAAGAACATTTCCAACATATCATCAATGAATTAATTAACTTGTAGAATTCACAAAAAAACTACACCAGAAACCAGTATCAAAGAAAAAAACAAAAGAATTAATCTAATCTGTCAATAGTTTATTGCCGCGCAAGCTTTATCAAAAAAAAAAAATAATAATAATCATCTACACCACACAAGTTAATATTCACAATGTTATCAAATGCAATATTTGATTGTGAATATCTTGTCATACAGTGAGAGAGAGAGAGAGAAAGAAAAAAAATCTTGTAATCGTGTAGGTGTATGACGACAACGAAGACGACTACGAAAAACAATCTATGGTCTATGAACTTGATTTTTTATTTAGTGAAGCCAGGAAAAATTTAAAAAAAAAAATTACCTGATCGAAATGCCGCGGTCATCTAACTCTCACCGTTTTTTTTTCTCCTCCAATAAGCTAAGTAAAGTCAAGTCATTTTAAAGCAGATAAAATGAATGAAAGATTTTGATCAACCATAAGACCACTGACGATGATGATGATGATGATGATGAAGATGATTAACTATGAAAATGAAGAAGATCTTCATGAGAAAATTTTTCCATTTTATTTTCATTGGTTTGTCTCGAGTTGTTTTTTTTTTGGCCAAAAATTTCTCGTTATTGTCAACGAATCAAACAAATAAACAAACGGTACTAACGAACAAAAAAAAAATCCTAATTTGGTTTTTGTTCTTATCTTTTCAATTTTTCGTCAGTTGAACAAGAAAAAACAATAAACAGAAATGATTCTAATGACAAATGACAGTTTAATAAGAAAAAAAAATTCATCCATATCGTTATATATTCTATTCAATCATTGAATGAAATGATGAAATGTTCATTTAAAATTGAAAATGTTTTTTCATTTTCTTAACAAAACAACATGGAAACAACGTAAACAAGAACCATATGATCATGATGAATTGAAAAAAATACTGAATTGAATCAAACTTATTTTTTGAATTATTAACAAAAAAATGAAATATGATGCCATTGATCATCATCATCATCATCATCAATTGATGATTATTTATAATGAAATAAATGGCCAAATGACTATAGTAAAAAAATAAAAATTTGAATTCAAGTTTTTTTCACCTCTCTCATTCACGTCATCATATTCATCATCATCATCATCATCGTCATCAATATTCAAACAAGCAAAAGAAAAAAAAATCAGCGATATGGATCCATTAATTAATTTTCCATTTCTTCATCATCATCATCATCATCATCATTCACTTCATAGTTCATCAGTTTAGTTCATAAAGATTTTAGGATTTAGTTTCATCAGTATATCAGTGTGTTTTCAATTTTGGTCATTCGGTAAAGTGCAAAAATGGCCAACAAACACAGATAGACAGATCAAGGATAGTTGTTTTCAATTTTCTGAAATGAAAAAAAACCCATGGTATCCCAGGAAGATGATGGTTTAGCAAAAAAAAAAAAAAAAAAGATAGGCCAAAAGCAGTTTATTCATTTTTTATGATGATTTATATGTATATTGAACATTGGATAATATATCATGTTTTTTTTCTGTGTATAACCCATCATCAGAGTATGCCAAAAATGCAACATTTTCGATTGTTGTTGTCCGTTGAATTCGATTGATCTGATTGTCTTGAAAATCATCTCTATCTAAATATTGATGATGATGATGATGATGATGATTCAACGCAAAATATATCCATTAATTATAATGAAAAAGGAACAAAAAACATTTCAAACCTCCATCATCCATATCGATAATTGATAATTGATTTTTTTTTTGATTTTCTATTCATTCGATCATTTTCGAAAAAAAACATAATGGTGATCACCATGATTTTTTTTTTGAAAATAATCCACAGCTTGAAATTTATGGATTTTTTCTGTTTTTTTTTTGTAAAAAGATATGAAAAAATATGGAAAACCAAAACAAAAAAAAAATCTATTAAACTTTAAGAAATTATTGATTGTTCAATCAAATCAAACCCAAACCATCATCAACCAAATATATATGGAAAGAAATGAAATTGTTGTTCATAAACTACCAAAAAAAAAAAAAAGATAAAAAAAATCCATAAGAGGATATAAACACATCATTTCAAAATATGAATGGTGTTTATTTGATGATTATATGGTGGTGGTGGTGGTGGTCGTTCGTTTTTGTTTTTCATCAAATAAAATTTTTTTTTTATAGTGATAGTGATAATGGTAAATGGTGGTTTATGTCATAAGATTTCCATATATTTCAAGTGGAAGTGAATAATGATTAATTGAAAATTATTACTGATTTGACTTTGAATTTTTTTCATTTTTTTTTTTTTTGATTAGTACACACTCACGGATAATGATTCGAACCTTGCTTGTTTCGGGTGTCTCTCTCTCTCTCTCTCTCGTTCTATTAATATATTTGAATGTTTGAATAAAAAAAAATTTTTTGCTGGATTTAAGAAAATAATCAAATGAACGAAGAAGGAGAGAGAGAGGAGAGAAATGATGATAAATTATTTTCATACACGAATCAAATTGGAAATCATTTAAAAACATGCACATATGATGATGATCGTTTCATTTCAAAAAAAAAAAATAAACATCCATAACATAGAATTCTGTATGGAAAATAATTTTTTGAATTTTTTTTTTCAATTTTCCAAAAAAAAAAATACTGATGATTATAATGATGATCAGCGACAACTTTCGTAAAAAACAACAACAACATTGATATCTTATCATTTTCACATTCTTCATCTTGATCATCATCATCATCATCATCATTATGAATGAGAATTAATCATCATTAAATTTTTATTTTTTGTTTGTGGAAGTTTATGGAAATTTTTTTTTTCATAAAATAAAATATATATTACGAAAACTGTTTATGTGTGTGTGTGTGCTCTTTTTTTGTTGTTGTTGTTGTTTATCATGTTATGGATATTTGAGTATATAAAAAAAAATCATTGAAAATAAAAAAAAAATGACTATTTGATGAGAACCTCATTGCCATATTTTTATTTCGCCTCATTTCAATTTAATAATAAGATAAAAGATAGGATAAATATCTTTAAAGAATCATTATCACCAATCTTATATATAACATAGGTCACCATCACCATTCAATGATGATGATTATTGTCACATTGATGATCGTTTTAATCGTGATGGTGGTCATATACAATGTAACAGGTCAACAGGTTGACCGGTAAATTAATAGAAATAACGGGGCGGTCACATACACTTGTTGTAGTTGGTGGTTGACCATAGGTCATTGCTTGAAATTATTTTTTTTTTTTTGCAATACAAAAATATGTCACTATACTACTATATACCATATCTGTGTGTGTGTATGTGGAATTTAAATATCCAGCTGTTTTTTTTTCGTTAACATTTTTTTCGGCTTAGAATTGATAATAATTTTTTTCTCATCATCATTTTTCCAACATTTTCCAAATGTCAAATATGGATAGATGTATAGATAGTCGATCACTATGTGCCATATTGGCTTTGCTTATGATCATTAATTGAAAAAAAAACAGATATGTGATTCTGTCCACACAAATGCAAGCAAGCAAGATTGAAGGTAATTTTCGAACACTTGTTGCTGTTGTTGTTGTTGTTGTTCTCAATCAGATAGTTATTCGAAATCATATGAAAGTATAATTGATTAATTTCTTTCTCAGAAAAACAGAAAGATACGGAAAAAGTGGTCATATTGATAGTGTGAATAACGAATAAAAAAAAACATACAAGACGTACATATTTCAATATAATATATTCTTTACCACTAAAACACAAAAAATGATAAATGATTTTTTTCGAATTTTCCAAATCTTCAGAGCAAAAAAAAACTAATCTTGCAAATTTTTTTTCCTTTTTTTCTTCGATGCATATTGATTATATTGATTTTGTTTGAAAATAGTTAATTGATTTAAAAATCTGAAATTGAAATGGATGAATGAACACATGAACACAAAGAGATAAAAATACATTTTTTCAACAAACAAATTTTGTTTCCAATTATTATTATTATTATTATTATTGGATTTTAATTGATTAATTCACTCTTCCCATTTTTTTATATATATATTTTAGATACGAAATAAATTTGGTTGTTTCGATGAGATACGTGATATTGATAATAAAAAAGTACGACATTGTAATTGGATACGTTTTGTAACAATAACAAAATTATTGAATGAAAATGTCAATATTATTGGACGTATAATACGTGGTGAAGTGATATATGAATGTATACAGACAATTGTTTCAAATAAAGAGATTGTCGTATATTATGATCTCAAAAATTTCGATCTAAATACAACAACAACAACATTGTTTCATCAATTCTATCCATCATTGTTTGCTGTATCACCATTTTTTCGTACACATCATCATCATGCATTTATTTGTCGTCAAGCATTACAAGGTAGGTTTTTTGTTTGTTTGTTTGTTTTTTTTTGTTCGAATTCATCCATGTAAAAAATTTATTTTTATTTTTAATTTTCTTCCAAAACGAATACAAAATAACAACAACAGATAGTCCACTTGATCTTTCAATGTCATTATTGGCATCACCATCCGAATCATCGACAACATCATCGATATCATCATCATCATCATCGTCATCATCGACGTTATTTTCACAGAATAATGAAAATCATTTATTACCTTTTTTATCATCATCGTCAGCATTATCGGATCATCATAATGAATTTTTATCCAAATTAAATAAAACAACAATGTCAACAACAAGAAAATTATCATCATCAACAACAAATACGACTAAAATAACAACAAAAACAATGTCAACGACAATGACAATTGATCTCTCAATGAATAACAATCAAAATAATAATAGTAATACCAACAATATGATCATCAATAATAATAATAATAATAAAAAATCATCATCATAATAATAATAATCAACCACGATTACCAAGTTCACCAGAATCGGTAATCGATGATGATATTGATGATGATGATGATGATAAAATTATGATCAATGTTGATGATGATGATGATGATTGTTGTGATAATGTTATGATCGATCATCATGATGATTTGGAAGAGGAGGAGGATATTGTTGATGATTTTGAAGATGTTGATGATGATGATGATGATGATGGACATTTATCAGCCGCATCATCATCATCGAATACAATGAAAAGTCATTCAACATCAAAATCGATGACAACAACAGCAACAATGAAAATATTGAATTCATCATCATCAAGAACATTGAACGCATCAACAAAGGCAATGGCTAAAACTAATGCTGCGGCTGCTGCTGCTGCTGCAGCAGCATTAAAACTAACAATGACAAAAACCGTATTAAAAGATATTGAAACAATGAAATCTTTAGCTAATCATTTAGTGGTGAAAAAACCACGTGAACGTACAATGTTACCATGTGAATATTGTGGTAAAGCATTTGATCGACCATCATTATTACGTCGTCATCTGCGTACACATACTGGTGAAAAAGTATGTTTTGCTTTCATTTTATATTTTCCTGGTTTTTTTTCTCTCATTAAAATTTATACCAAAATTAAGACAAAATTCATGATTTCTTTTTTTCTTTTCATCATTTCATCATTAATTCATCATTGTAGCCTCATGTTTGTGATGTTTGTGGCAAAGGATTTAGCACATCATCATCATTAAATACACATCGCAGAATACATTCTGGTGAAAAACCACATCAATGTAAGTATAATTGAATAGAAAAAAAATTCATTTTTTCTCGTCATCTTTATTTTTTTTTTTTTTTGTTTTGCGAAATAATAAATTTTCCAATGAAGAGAAAAGTAAGAAAAAAAATTATCATGTGATAATGATTAACTTAGTATGTGTATGTGTTTGATTATCACGATGTAATAAATAAATATCAAGTTATGGTTGTTGTTGTTGTTGTTGTTGTGAATGAGAAAAATTGTCAAATTGAACAAGATTTTTTTTTCTTCTTCCAACACGACGATAATGAAATGATACTAAAATATTGAGAAAAAAAAAGTAATGATGAATGAATGAATGAATGTTGCTAATTTAAGGAGTATGATGATGATGATATGTGGAAATAAAATTTTAAAATTACGACAAATTTTTTTTTCTGCTACAAATCAAATGATGATAAATTATATAGCCACACACACACACATCAGATTATCATTGAACTTTCAATAATAAATTTATTTAGTCGTATATACATCTTTATTATTTTCAATGTTTTTTATTATCGCTGATTTAATATTGTTTTTTCTCTTCCTATTTTTTTCCCACATCATCATAGGTCCAATATGTGGTAAACGTTTTACAGCTAGTTCGAATCTATATTATCATCGTATGACACATAATAAGGTAGGTGTTTTTTTTTGTTGTTGTTTTACTTTTATTTACTCTACAAAAACAAAATATTTCACACATTTATCCAATATAATGATTGAGATCCTCACAACAACAACAACAACAACAAAAATGACACGCGTCACCGATTATTATTATTATTATTCACACACACACACGGACCGAAAGATAACTAAAATTTCAATCAACTTATGAATGAATGAATATCACACGGTCCAAAGGTTACAAATTGAACGAAACAAAAAAAAATCACGGCAAAACTTGAAACAAAATATCATCATAGAAACCACAGACAAACAAACAAACAAACACACTTGATAATAATTAATTATATTTTCACAACTAATAGATAATTAGCGTTTGTGTTTTTTTTTTCTTTGCCAATTCCTTTGTCTCATTCATTCATTCATCGGCAACGTTCCAGTTGGTTAATCTTTTATACCAATAGGCCACACACACACACACACACAAACACTGATATGGACACACTTCATGTATCACTGGCTTTATTCTTGATTACTATTTTATTTTCATTTAAACTTGTCAACTACAAACGCGCGTCAATGACGTGTTCAATAATAATAATCATCATCATCATCATCATTTATGTTTGTTTATTGTTGATGTAATCATCATTTATAGTGAACGAAATGAGCACAAGAGGTGGCGACAATTTGTTCAATTAACACCTATAATAATAATGATGATGATGATGATGATGATTTGTTTAACAGAAATTTTTCTTCAATTGATTATGATGATGTCGTTTGTTTTTTTTTCATGAATGAAATGGTTGGTTAGTTAGTTGATTAAACACCTCTGCCATTTGTGTGTGTGTGTGTGTGTATGTTTTGTATGCATTCAATGCATCAGTGAACAGCACTTTTTTTTCGTAGAAAAAATTGTTTATCATTTTTAAAAAGTAAACTTTTTTTCTTACTAAAATATATCGACAAAATTAAAAATATTCATTCCGAAAAAATAAACATGACCATATCAAAATCCTTAATAATTCGGGTATTCGAGAATTGTTTGTTTTTTTTTTTTTTGGCTATGTTTTCCTAAATATCGCGATATGTTTTTTTCTCAATAAACTTATTTTGTGTATTTTGTTGGTCAGAAACAAAATCACACTGTTTCCACTCTCTTTATGTGTGCCGATATATCGGATTTTATTTAATTAATATAAACAATAACCGAATTAACACTGAATACACATCATTGTCCGGGTATTTTTTTTCAATTGTTCTTTTTTTTAAGAAAAAGATTTTCAAGATGTTTTTGCAAGACTTCATAAACATGATAATGTTTTCTTTTGTCGGCATTTTTTCTATTGATTTCTTATATCATACACCAATATATTCATGGATTGTATAGTATTTTATTTTGAGTTTCTTATTCACAGTTTCCCTTTTTGTTGTTGTTGTTGTTGTTAGTTACTAAGTTTGTTAGTGTGTATATTTGTATGTGTTCTGAACTTAAAATGAATTTATTATTTATTTTCAAAGTTCATTTCCATTCATAATGATCATGATGATAAAAAAAAGAATCATTTTTCCCATTTTTATTCTGTTCTATTCTTATATATTCACACAAACACATTAAAAGATATATATATAAAGTGTTCAATTTAAAATAATTTATTTGAATAATGGATAGTAGCCGTGAATCAAGTGTAATTGATTCGGCGAGTCAATGTGTGTGTGTGTGATGTTTTTTTTGTCGGTTTCTTTCTATTTTCCGGATTGTTTTTTGGTCATTCGTTGTGTGTGTGTGTGTGATTCGTGGGTAACAAAATTTGTCTCAATTTATCGATCGTTTTTGTTTACGAAGATTTTAATTTTATTTGAAAGGATTTTATTCCAATTTCTTTTGTTTTTTTTTCGCCCGATAAAATAAACATTTGATCCATATGATGATGATTTTTTCTATTCGGCTTGTTTCTGATATTGATCGTTATTATTATGAATTTTTTTTGGCCCAATGTTCAAATATATGTAGAAATATATACAACAAATCAGACCATAAATAAATCTTTGATGTCTGTGTGTGTGTGTGCCATATCATTCGTAGTATTATGAAACAACGACAACAGCAACAATATATTTCAGTAATCAAAGAGTGGTCCGACAAATATATGATATTCATCATCAATAATAATCCAAACAAACAAAAAAAAAAAAAACATCAACGATGATGGTGGTAAAATGGAAGCGGCAATGCAAAGATTTTTTCTTTTCTCTTAGGATTCACACACACACACACACACACACACACACACACACACACACACACACACACACACACACACACACACACACACACACACACACACACACACACACACACACACACACACACACATATAGACACTCAACACAGATGTGTTTTTTTTTCTCTCTATCACTTGGTCTGCAGATTTTTTTTCCATAAGTTTATGGTTTGTTTGTACTAGTATTTTCTCGGATGATGATTATCATCTTAGAAAATCTTCTTTCAACTTTTTTTTCCATTCTTGAAAAACCAAAAAAAAAAAAAAAAATCGACCGATGATCACATTGAAATCATATATGATTATAATCGGATAGATTATATACTTTCATTTTATTTCGTTTCGTTTATTATTATTATTATTATTCTGTTATTATTTGCCTGTTTGTCTGTCTGTCTGTGATATAAGTAGCATCTTTTTGAAAAACTAAAAAAAAAAAAAAAATTCCATTCCCACCGTTTTTTTTCCATGATAATCATCATTTTCTTCATGACTGATACTGTACTAAAGAATGGTGTGTGTGTGTGTGTGTATAAAATGATTCATGAATTTCGGATTGAAAAAATTTGATACGAAAACTAAAGTTATGTTTTTTTTTGTTACAATTTTGTACATTTGTTGAAAATGTCATGAGAATTATATTGTATATAATGATCCACACAATGATTGTTTTGATTTGATTGATTATTCAAATGTTACATAATTTGATGTGTGTGTGTGTGTGTGTTAATTTGATAACTTTTTTTTTGTTTGAAAATTGTTTGCAATCAAAAAAAAATGATGATGAAAGTAATCATTTTGATCATTTCAATGTATTTGTTCCAGAATGACCAATCATAATTATCATTATCAACGATTAAATTGTTGTAATTTGATTTTCTTTTTTTTTTTTTTTGTTTCGTTAATTTGATCCGTTAGTTTCTCCACTACTTTAACTACACACTTACAATCACTCGATATAATCGATCTATATTTTTTTTCTTACATTTAATGATGATGATGAATTATGTCAATAAGATAATTTTGTTGGAAAATTTTTTCCAAATTTGAAAATTAAACCTTTTTAAGAGTGAAAAAAAGGAAAATATTGTCGTTTTTTTCTCATCGAATCTCTCTCTCTCTCTCTTTCTCTCACATACAAACACAAGAACCATATAAACATCAAATGAAACAAAAAAAAATTTACAAACTCAAAAAATTACTATTCTGTCGAACAATCAACAACAACAATAATAAAAGTGAAAACATGTGTGTGTGTGTGCGTGTGTGTGGATCGAAAAAAAGGTCATTATCATCATCAGCATCAAGATACCTTTGTGTCCACCATGTTATGGACACACAGGCCATATACTAATTGATCATTTGTTTTGCGTGTGTGTTTACTGAAGCTGTTGTTTTCAGATCCACATCGTGTGTACATACTGTAATTCTTGTTGTAGTTGTTCTATAGAAAAAAAATACCTCACCATGTGATTATCAATTGATTGAAATTTTTTTTTTTACTTACTTACTTACTTACTTTCTTACAATCAGTAGTTATTACTTGTAGTGAATATGGAATGTTCTTGTTGTAGATACTTGGTATATTGAGAGAGAGAAAGAGAGATTTTCAAAAAAAAAGTTGTGATCGATCGAGATCGATTTTTGGTTCGTTTTTTTATTTTTATTTTTGAAAAAAAGTTATTGATGATGATCATCAGGTGTGTGTATGGCTACTGTATGTGTGTGTGTGTGTGTTGTTCACGGAAGCTTATTCGGTTCATTTGTTCGCGTTTATTATTATGATGATGATGATGATAGACATAGTGATTTTTTTAGTGGTTTCTCTCTCTCTCTCTCTCTTTCTGCTGTTGTTTTTGACTTCGGTATTTCAGTGTTCCATTCGATAACGAAACAAAACAAAAAAATTTGTTCAATACAGTTCAGTAGTTTATGTTTGAATTAGTTATTTCTTTTGCGTGACGATCAGTCACGATTTTTGTTGTTGTTGTTGTTGTTGTTTTGTTTTGTTCTGTTCGGTTTTTTCATCTTCGATCTTCTTCATCATAGCGATTCATTATTCTATGTTTCAGTACGAATGATGATGATGATGATGATGATGATGAACAACAAAAATTCGGTTCGGTTCTCGGATAACTCTCATCATCAACATTCAGATTGGATTTAATGGTTTTTGAGTTAAAAAGAAAAAAACAGGCTAGCCATGGTTGCTGTTGTTCAGTAGTCAATGACTTAAAAGCCACACCAAATAATAATAATAATCTCTTTGGTATGAATGATTAACATACCGAATTATTTCTTAGTTCATCATCATTATCATCATTTCAATTGCTACCGAATTTCATTTCGATAATGTTTTTTTTTCTCTTCGTTTTGTAACATACACACTTGTAATACTTTATTTATAATGAGGAATCTTTCATTTTTATTATCTTAATCTTTACATCAATTTAATTTGATTTGATTTGATTTGATTTGTTCGACAGTATCATCATCAGAAATCAAGAATTTCGATCAAAAAAATCTTTATTCTTTTCCAATCAGCTTGAATAATCAGTAGTAAAAAAAAATTCCATTGAAATTAAATTTGTTACCACACATTTTTTGATCATTGTACCACATTCTAATCTATAGTTGGTCATATTTTCTCTCACATCATTCCATTCATCATTCATACATGATGGTTATATATATATAGTTTTTGTCCGAGCACGAGCTTTAT